CCATTTAAGGCTTTATATGTGAGGTTCTATTCTTGATTTAACAGGAAGCCAATGAAGAGAAGCTAGGATAGGAGAGATATGATCTCTCTCTTTAATTTTCATCAGACCTCTGACTGCTTCATTTCGGATCAGCTAACTGACTACAGAACAAGGTTGTTTATCATTAAGGCAGTGTTACTACAGCAAAATAATAGTTCTTGTAATAGCTGAAAATGATTTTCTGGAGAAGCAGAAATAAACCATAAGTAACTAAATCAAAAAAACAAGTTTACTGTACTTTTGTTTTCTGTGCTCAGCTGGATCATTATCATATAATTGAGATTATCATTAAAACAAAACTGTTAGCATTATAACAATACATTTTCTTTTATTGGCTATTAAAGCGTTTTAACGAGAATTTTGATTCCAGTAATGTTTTAGTTTTTCTAATTGGAAATTAGAAATGATTTGTGCTATGACTTTTAAAGCTAAAAAAAAATATTTCACAAAAGTCTCATTATTCTTTGTGTTTTTATAAACTAATTGAGCTGATCTTGCAATATAAAGTGAAGCTGAATACGCCTCATCAATGAAAGCACAAATGGTCCCATTGTTACTCATTATTGTTTTGAGGTTCCCATCTGCAGCACAATCTTTTCTCTTATGAATTGCCATTTCATTTATCCTGCATAATGTTATACTCAAACCTATATGTGTAACTATTTAGTACCACTTGGTTTTTAACAGTCACCCCTACACTCACTGGTTCTGAACTTAATGTGTCTAAAGCTCTTTTCTCTTTCCCCACCACATTCTCTACTTTATTAGCTTTGGCTAACACAGGGAAATTCAGTTTAGTCTAGGTGCTGAAAGACCACTCATGGGAGCAGAATCGAGTTTGGAAACTTTATCCAATATGCAGCAGAACAGTTACACATACTGCAGCATACTCTCACTCTAAGCTCTTCCAGGCTATACTATTATCAAATGCTGAGAGAGAAGGTTCAACCAATGTCAGGCACTTGGTACGAAAATTTGAACTGTGTCATGAGATAAATGTTCATTCAAAAGTGACGTAAATATTTTCATATTGAAATAACATTAGAGTAGTAATGAAAGAGGGAAACTGGGCCTTTAATCCAAGTAGTGTCTAATTCTGTATTGTATGTATATACAGTATTTTACTGAAAAACACTTTTGAATGCTGTAAAACACTTGCATTTCTGCGCTGCTATGATATGAAAGACCTTGCTTTGATATGTGAAAGGGTTTTTTTTTAATTGTGGGATTTTACTGTAGAATAAAAATTAAATGCTGTAAAAATCCAGGGAGACTTGTCTTTTATAGAGGTATTCCCCACAGATAACTCTGATAAGAGGTAGTCATAAAGTTCCTGAGCTGATATGCAACAGAAAGCTTAAAATTAAAAGAATAAGAGAAAATAGCACACAACAAATTTTAAAGCCATAAATTGTCAGATACAACCCGATACATGCTTAATATAAGCCACTGTCATATAAACTGGCTTAATTGAACATTAGATTTCTTCCAGGAAAATGATTTGAATTATTGACTTGTTTACAGACCATAATCATGATGTTGTCATCAAAACGAGAATGTAGGACCCAGTATTCAGGTGAGACAGACAGTGGGATAGTTTCAAAATCTTTATTAACAAAAACAGACAGAACGGAATGTGGAGCAGTGGATCTGCGGACACGCTGTGGCATGTCTGTGTTTGTGCTTTTGTGTGAAACACAAAACAACATAATGATCTGGCCCCGATAGCTGGGCGGAACCGTATATAAAGCAGAATGAGCAGGTGGAGGAGATGAATGAAATTTAGCGAGCAGGGAGGGTTCGGCAGGTGAGTGAAGTGAGCAATTAGAGCAGCTATCAGGGCAGATCATGACAGATGTTTTGTTTTTAATCCAGTTTTGATAACCTGAATTTAATGAGGCATCCATTCTGATAAAGTCAACTCTTTTTAATATATCTCTCTTCAGAAGAAGAGCCCAGTTCGAACCACGTTCTGAAATATTACATTATAAAGGTATATTAATGCACCAGCAATTTTTTTATAGAATTATTTACAGGAATAATTATAGGTTTACCTTGTTATTAAGTCAGATTTAACTTAAATAATGAATACATCCCTTTTTTGGTGCTTTCACTCAGTCCTTAAAACAGATGTTTTTTAAGTGCTGTTGATAAAGGTACATTTGGACAAACTTCTACTGCAGAACTACATGCCCTTCTCAAACCCTTAACTTAATTGGTAAGATTATTGAAAAGGCTGAGTTTCAACAACTTCCTAACAATGATGTCAGTCTGATGTCTACTGTGAAAGAACCACACAGAAATAGAAAGAATAGAAATGGAACTTTATTGATCTCACAGTGGAGAGCAGTGGGCTGCCACTGTGCAGCGACCAGGGAGCAGTGTGGGGTCTTGCTCAGGGACCGAGAGCATAGGCTGTGGGGATCGAACTGGGTACTTGCTACCTTCTAGAGCACAAGCACACTTCTCTAACCACTAGGTCAACAAACATTACTCATGTTTCGACTTTACTGCAGCATTTGACAATGTTGGTCAATCGATTTTATTAGAGTACCTGGAAAACAGGGTCTAGTTATCTGGTAAAGAACTCAACTGAGTATATGGCAACCCTATCCGTAAAGCCTGCAGGAACACAGGAAGCTGTTATAAAAATAAACTATGCTTGGGACATTCCATTTTGAATACATTTCCTTTTTTTTAATTGGATGAATTTGAAGTTCTAGTTCAGTGGCTGTGACCAGTTTTGTTCGGGGCAAGAGAACCAGATGCGGAAGTCAGTGGTACACACTTTATAAGATGAAGTGCAATACTGCATACTAAATGTATTACAGTGTAAATGCCTTATTATTTAGCCTTCTGGTAATCATTTCAATCATTAATTCAATTTCGAAGAAACAAAATGTTCAGACTAAGGTCCCTTCATCAGTTTTATAATACAAATAATGACAAATAATTACGCCAGATTTCCCCTTTTTTTACACAGTGGGGCAAGTATGACATCAACATGCTCCTCCAACTCAGATTTTAATAAATAAAAACACAAGCCAACAAAACTATGCAAATTAAATTGAGTTTCACAATAAGATGTCAGCAGGTGACCATGAACCCATTTAAGTGTTGGGTAAATGCATAGTAAAAATCTATTTATGGATGAAGCGATTTATTTTATCTGGATTAAAGCTAAACTGAAGAAAACATTTTAGACCCAAGGAGGGGGCTATTACAACTAAAACTACAGAAAAGGCACAAAATACAAGCATAGTGATAGACTCCAACCTAAACCTCATGAGGCACATAAAGACAGTAACAAACGCTGCCTTCTATCACCTCAAGAACATTTTCAGAAAAAAACAAACTTTTGAGGACAAATGTCTCAACCTAATCTTTTAAAGCTAATTCATGTCTTTATCTTTAGTAAAAACCGATCACTGAAACTGTGTCTATAAAGGCCAACTGCTGCCCATGTCCTCACTAAAGCTAAGAAAGTGGAGCACATCACCCCATTGCTAAACACCTTACTCTAGCCTGCTACAAAAGGGAGTACAGATTTGTTGTTGATGTGTAAACCTCCCAGACTTCTCAGGTTTTCTATTGCAAGTCTATATGATGAGAATCAGAACTAAACATGGAGAAGCAGCTTTTAGTTTTTATAGAATAGACTTTGACTGCTATCTAAACAAAACTGGTATTCCAACTTCCTTTTATAAGATCAACAATCATTTTATTACTTATCTCTTATGACGACCTTGCCATTTTAATTATCAATTATATTTGCTTAAATCATTGATGATTATTTAATTACCTTTATATCTCTATAATGTACTTTTCTTGTTTGTTTTCCTATTATGTTTCTTTAGCCAAGTACAGCTCAAAATTGTCTTGTATCTGCTATATAAACTTGCCTTTATTTGTCTGTGTTGAGGGTGGCAATATAATCCGGTATATTCATGTTTTTTTTTGGGTATCTTTTTGTACTTTGGAGTCTTATTTTCTAAGCTCACTCGAAGAAGTACTGTATGGCAGAAACAGCCGATAAAATTATAAATAAAACCAAGATAAATGCTTGCTTAGAAAACCTTAAGTTAATTCAGTATGACTGCGGTGCATTGAGAATGTAGTGAAGGTGGTATAAAGTACTCAGCATATATTAGTCCTTTAAATCTTGAGGCAAACACACTGTCTCATGCACTTTCTTGTGAAAAGAAATCATCGCTACAATTCCTACTATTCTTTTTATTTTCCCAATAGGTGTATGAACTCTAGCACCTTATTATGCATGATGTTTCTACACACACATTTGTGAAGGGATGGGCTATTTTAAGATGCCGACCCAATTCCAGAATGGTACCATGACAACGATGCCATGTATGCAATAACATTTCATAATCATCTTTGGTGCTATTATAGTCAAGGGAACCTTATTAGACCACTCCTTTGTTAATGTGTTCCCTTGTGCTCTTCAGGTTATGTAATTTTAAAAAGTTTGATTGAAGAAAACAAGAAACTGTTTGGCAGGAAATTGACTAAGTCCCAAACAGTAAGCTTTAGAAAATCACACAGGGGTATAAGGGGATGCAGTCCATTTCTTGCAAACAAGTGAAAATGTTGATGCAAAGAGCATTATTTTGTGGTTCTGCTTTTCAACCTTTCCAGTTCCAGTGGGGAAACACCTTAATGCTGCACCCCTTCTGACATTTAGTTAAGTATCCCATCCTTGTGTTGTTTTATGACGACTATATACAAAGCAAGGTCCATAACGATATGAGTAAGAAGAGGTTTGCAGAAAATGAGAGACCAAACCTCAGCCCAACCGAACATCTGTTGGCAAAGTTAGAGTTGAGACTTTGAGGCCAGCATCAGATCTGACCTCATGAATCCTCTTCTGGAGGAACCTGCAAATATTGCTATAAAAGTGGTTATGGAAAGCATGAATCAAACTCAAATTTGTGCAAACAAGACTATGGACTTTATTAACCAAATCATTTTCCCCATAATATCCACAAATAAAAGTGTTCTCTTTATATATATTCACATTGTATAATTTTTCAGAGTGACAAAATTATCTTTTTTTTTTTTTTTGGATTTCCAGCCATTCCTAGTAATTGTCATTTGATCAGTCGCCATGCAAGTTGTCAGAAAGTCTGAAAAACATTACGATTGGTCAGCATTGGCGGTCCTGTCTGGCATCACTCTTCCTGCTCCTCCTCTATAGGCTCTTTGCTGTCTTAAAATCTCCATTGTTTACCCAATCACATATTTCATTACACTGCAACAATGAAAAATAAAAATAAATTAAGAAAGCAACGTTCTCCTGCAGAGTGCTTCAGAGTATTCTTCAGTTTCCCCTTCTTTTTTTTTATATTTTCTGTTTTTATACAATATTAATAATAATAATGACTATAATCGTCCTTGATATAAATTCAATATTACTTTTTAATCTTTCTCAAATTTTAAATAAATCATTTTGGCAATCCTCTTATGTTGTCACTTTAGAATAAAAGAATACTCAAGTAGAAAATAAGAACTGTGAGAGAAAACTCTTCTGAAGAGGAGCGAGTTGTGAGAAAAAGAAATGTGAGAAAGCAACAGAGAAGAGCGAGAGAGGACAGAAAGAAAAGAGTCAAAGAAAAGCATCCACTTCAGACGCATGTCAGAAACAGCTCTATGTACAACAGTTTCTGTTGTGGTTATCTGTCCTTCCTGTGCCAGTTGTCCGTCTCTTGTTCTTCCTCTCAGATTGTTTCTGCAGCAGTCCTGTTTGTCTGAAGCAGTCCCATGTGTCCCAGTGTTATACCAGAGTGTAAGACTTGGCATATGGGTTGTTGCTCTGTTTCAGGTGTCCTCTGGAATCCAGCAGTGACTCCTGTGAGGTGCTGAGCTTGGCAGCCTGTGCTTGGGCTAAATCTCCTGAGGGGGGGGCCTCTCCTCGGACCTCACCCCGGGCCTCCCCCCTGTCCCGGACATCCCTGTGTGGAAGGGTAGAGGCAGTTCCTGGCTGCCACTGTTGCACCTCCCTGGGAGAGGGTACTTCCATGGGTGTGGGCTCCATCGGAGGAGGCCTCTTTAGGGTACGGCTCCTCTGGGGTTCAAGGCAAGCCTGGCCCATGGCTCCTCCAGCTCCTCTTGACTCCCCCGCAGCACCAGAACCACCTCCACTTGCTCCTGCAGCTCCTCCACTGCTTCCTATGCTGCTACTGCTGCTGACGCCCCCTCCTCGGGCTGGCAGAGGCACGCCACGGTTCAACAGGAAGTCCATACGGAGGTAGGGTGGCAGGTGGACCAACTCTCCTCCTGGGAGGCAACACATAGATAAGCAGGAAGCAGCATTAGAAGTGGTTGTCATACTGATTTGAGAAAAGCAAAAAGAGAGTTTTTGTGACATTTTCTTTCTCTCCTAATGATGGGGCAGGAGGAAAACGTTTAAAAGTGAGGTTCTAGTAAAAATATGGTTTAAATTGGATTAATTAGACCAGAGGCTAAAGCCAGCGAATAGTCCAACAAAGGCAAAAGCCAAAACTCAATTAAAGATACCATGGGCAAATGTTTTTCATTATTTTTATAAACCTTTTGTTGGAGGTAGCAGGTGTTGCACTATCAATGGTCTTTCTCTATGAAGAGTTCTGAAAATTAAAGTTAGAGATGGGTTGAAAAAATAACTATAAAATACCGTTCACCTAAACTACTTCATCAATTTAGATTTTTTCACTGCTACCACTACTTGGAAGGATTTCTTTCTTTATTCTGATTGAGAATTGATGCTGTGATATCACCAATTTATTTCAACCAGAGTCAGTGCTTCTAGATGTTGGAGCAAAAAAAAAAAAAAATCAGGATATTTTAGCAGGTTTAAGTAAGAAACAAAAACACGTTCAGCTTTAAGACAGTTCAGATATTTTACTTGCATCACTTTAATCATCAGTGTTAATAATCTCAGAAGATAAACTTCCTGTTTTGCACAAATTTCTCTCTCATGCATTGTCTGTTCTCCATTTCTCTTGTAGTTTAAGTTTATGTAATTGTTTTATCCACATGATGCAAAACTTAATGGAATACTGAATTTAAGATGTAATATCTTTATAAATAAAAGACAATAATTTAACAATGTAGTTTTGATTTTTCAGGTTACTATGCTGCATGGTAAATGAGCTTCTTCCTGTACAACTTGGAGACTTCATTGAGCTATGTTTAATGTTTTCTTTGGTCTCATGTTACATATACTGTAGTAAAAATGCCCTGACTGCAAAGACTCAGTATGATTAATTGGGTCCAATTTAAAATGTGTTTATACAAGTTGTTTTTTATTTTTATTTTATTATTGTCAGATAAATCTAAGCAGGATGGGTGGACTCAAGATCCCAAAATCTACGCAATGATGCTCTCTGTACTCCATCTGTGGAGCTCAACAGAAGTGACACCTTTACATGTCATAGCTGCAGAGTTCAGCATATAATTAACAGGGACGCCATTCAGTTGCAAAGTTGCTCATAACACATTATCTCTCCCACGCATGCAGACACACTCATACATATCCATCCCCCGCATGTACTAATATAATGTAGGTATGCTATATATGCACAGTCACAGTCCTTGCCAGCTGCTCTGCAAGCTCAAACAAGGACACTTCTGCACATTCAGTGGTGTGTGTGACCTAAGGGGGAAGGTTTCTGGATTTACAGGAAGAATGAATAAATCACTCTGGTTATGGATAAGCCCCATTAGTGCCGGTAAACATGATAAATGGCTTGAAGCGTTAATTGAAATAAATATAGATTCAAGTGTTTCCTTGGGAGCTCATTACAAATGAAGTTTTAAAAATGTAATCAGTTATTAAACCGTGGATGTTACAGCAATAAGAAACAAAATGCCTCATCTAAACAGCATTAAGTGTCTACCAAAAGATGTCCCATGCATCACTTAGTTGTCCCTCTGTTTAACATATTGTATTCAATTTATATTGCCATACAACACATTTACATATGTCTAAAGACGACTCCATCTGTTGGGCTGAGAGTAACTACATGTATGGAATATTGATCTCATAAAAGCCTAGACAGGTGAGCCTTTTTCTACAGGCCATTTTCCCTCCTCTGGCCTTTAAAACACTGCAGGTCAGGTCATTTCAGGTCGCTCTGTAATGTAATAGAGAGGAAAATAAAGCTGGAGGTGTTTCATCCACTTAATGTAAGCCACACCAGCAGCTTTGTTGGCTCTGGGTTTTACAGTGTAATACACACTAAATGGACCCCTTTAGTTCAGACATTCTCAAATTCCGTCTGCCGTTTTTCCTCTTATTCTTGGGGATATTAATACCCCTTTATCTGCTCACAGGAGAAACACTGTTTTAACTGTATCTTGGCTAAATTAGTCCGACTGAGATCAGCTGAGAGTCAACCTAGACCATTCACAGTTCTACATACACATGCTCTCATGTCTCCACAGTTCATACGTCTAAATATACCCATAATATATGCTTGAATTTTTTATTTCAACTTGCTTAATTTGCTTCCATTGAATTAATTTAATTTCGTCCGTTTCAATTAGCATGTTTTCTAAACAAAAGCAAGGCTTTGTTGGGCTACTGTATAAAGCCTTGAACTATTTTTGACCTTTTGGATTGAAATAGCTTCCTAGATGAGAAGCGAAACGTCTTCAAACTTGGAAAAACAGTCCAGTGGATTGTTTTTTAACTTTTTTGGAATAGAAATTAACTGAAGCAACTATGAATAGCTAGTTAAATGCCTCATGCCAGTTTTTAAGTAACACGCAAGTAAGGTGGGACCCACTGACTGTACTTACAGTATGAACCAAAGCAAATTGTATGCAAACAACTGCTCTGAGAGATGTTTAATCAGTTTGCTGAAGTGAGCAGAATAAAAAGTTGCATAACTTTAAAAAAAATGATTAGCAAAAAGTAGTATACTTAAGGTAAATTCTATTAAGAATACTTAAGTATAAGTAAAGGTTTAGAAAGTATACCAAACAATGTACTTTTAGTGTACTTGAAGTATTACTAAAGTAATACCTCTTCAAACTAAATTGGGACATTTTTAAGTTTTACTGAAGTATACTTAAAGTATACTTTAGTAAACAATAAAGTAAACAATAGTATAGGCAAGTACACTTGCCTATACTATTGTATATGTATATGAAAGTACCGTAAATTCTCTAATATAGGCCCGGGNAAAGCAAGGCTTTGTTGGGCTACTGTATAAAGCCTTGAACTATTTTTGACCTTTTGGATTAGTAAACAATAAAGTAAACAATAGTATAGGCAAGTACACTTGCCTATACTATTGTATATGTATATGAAAGTATATGAAATATAGTTTAGAATAAGTAAACTGTAAGTGCACTGCCTGATTTTAAGTATGAAATTAGTGCACTTTTAGTATACTTGAATAAAGTACTTTTTGCTAAGGGAGCTATGTAGAACTCCCACTGAGTAACTGAAAGTTATCTAACCTAGATACATAGTGCAAGTCTTAAATTGGAGGAGTGAACTGTCATTAATGCGAGTGGTCAGTTATATTGACTGAGAAGAGGTGAAACTCTGATAGAAGGCAGCAAATGACTAGACAAAATTTTTCACTACACTGGCTAAACAGATTGTTCAGTGTAATACTCTGCAGACATAGAAACCCACAGCTTGTTCTAGTAAACCACTGAAGAGCAGTAAGACTTTAGTCCATCCATGTAGGGAAGTGGTGGCCTAGTGGTTAAGACATTGCGCTTGGAATCCAGAGGTTCTGAGTTCAAGCCTTACTCCCACAGACTGCAGCTCTGGGGCCCTGAGCAAGACCCTTAACCCTACACCGCTCCTTGGGCGCCGCACAATGCCAGCCCACTGCTCCCCAAGGGGATAGGTTAAATGCAGAGAGTGAATTTCCCCACCGTGGGACAATAAATTGATTTACATTTTAGTTATCATCCAAAGTAAGCAAGTGTTCACATAGAGGTCCTTAATACCTTTTGGACATGTGCTGTAAAAAAATAAATGGAAACTGGTTCTCTAAACATTTATCTTGGTCTTTACACATTTTTTTTTTTTTGAAAGTTAGCTAAAATCTTTTTTTATAGTAACAGCTAATTAGCATCCAAAATCTCTGCATTGCGTCTCCAGTGTAAAAGACACCACAGCAAAGAGCCCTTTATTACCCTGATAGATCAACCATTTATCAGCAAAGTGCTGTTTTGTCCTCAGTGACAATACTTTGAGATCAGGTTGACAGATAGCCCTTAGCTGGCCTTTCTCTGCCAGACATGCATGCCTTCCTGTGAACAATACTTCATACTATAATGAGACCTGAAACTTAAGAAGGAGATCTGATGTCTTTGGCTGCTGTCTGACGGGGAACCTCCGGCACATTTGCAGACCTAAAGCACTTCTAAGGGGAGACCTCCAGTGCCGCTAATTATCAGAGGTCCCAGACAGGCTATAACATGAGAGCAGGACGGATGATGGACGGGCTGTCCACAAGGGTCTAAGAGCACAGTGTTTTTTTCAGTTTGGACCGCCTGACCATTGTGTGTGGTCAGTGGCTGCTGGATCAAGTAACTAATGGGTTTACTAAAAGGAGCTGAGGGTCATGTAAGGTAAGACTTCAACCAGACCACAGGTGTACAGTAATGCTTATTAGTATAAGTTTTTAATGTGTAGTTATAAAAAAGGAATTAAATCTAGCAAAAAATTCCCTTAATAATAAAACATACGTATGCCAGGGGTGCTGTAGGAAAACTTAAAAGTCCAAATTCTAATTTTATTATGCCTGATAGGTTTAGTTTCTCTGTTGGACAGAACAACTACACATAAACAGGACTCCCAAAAGCACAGAGAGCTCTTCTAATATATATGAAGTAATGGTTAATGAGACTCTTTCAGACTTTGTTGCAGAACTCTGAGGACTAATGAGACACACTGCAGAAAACAAAGCTAAACCGCGTTCAATTAAAAGAGACACTGGCCAAAAGTTAATTACTGGGCCTCCACAGACAGGCTATTAACTAACCGATACAACTTGCTGCCATCTATTTTGTTCTTTAAAAGAATAGTAAACAAATTATGGAAGATATATTTTTCAAATATATGTAAGAGAAAAAGCTCTGTGGTTCAACTGTTCAGGGAGATATGCCTGTGAATAGCTAAAGATGATTTTCTTATGGTTATTGTTTCCTGTCATTTGGTTTAGCAAAAAATACATGAAAAAGGGCTTTGAATTAAATATACTGGCTTTTTGCTTTTAAAATTGTAGAATATTACTTCACAAACTCTGACTCAGCAGGCCTTATCAAACTGGAATGTATAGATGAACAACCACTTTAACACAAATCAGTGTATAATTTAAAATGAACGAAAATGGTTGGTTTTACATTAATTTAACCAGTAAAAATAATGGCATATATTTGTGCTCATGAATTAATGCTTTTATAAAACCACCTGATGCTGCAACGAGCTCCACAACTCCACTGACCAAAGCACATAAAGCACTGTCCTTAACTTAAAGGTAAACTGGAGTTCTTTTTCCGGATACGTAGTCCTACTAATTGCCAGTCTTTGTGGTGATATGTTTGGTGAGTCTGACATAGTGGAAAAATTGCAAATCTTCTTTAAACAGAGCATGCATAAGGAGAAATGGACTTGTGCATGCTCTTGTAAGTGTTTCACTCTCGGGAGCGGGTACAGGATTGTGCATGTGCATTTTTCTTTAAGTCAAGACGACGGGTCTTTTCAAAAATTTGCGAAAATCATCCACTGTACCTTTAAGGCAGCTATTTTGTTTGCTGTGTTTTTTGCTACTGGATTAACTGATTAAATCAGGTGTGTCTGATCTCACCCTGGCTTAACAATGCTTTTATACAAACTCCTCACCTGGTCTGTGCGCCTTGGGCACGGCCATGTTCATGACCCTGCTAACATCCTGAGGTTTGGGCGGGGAAGCGGTAAAGCGGCAGATGCCTGACTCCGATGGGGTGCTGGAAGTCAGGCTGTCGGTGTAGTCGTTGGTCCCTGCTGTCATCTGCTCTGACGACGTGTCAGAGATGAAGCACTCTGTGATGGTGAACTTTGCGTGACGGAGCTGCTCCTCCATCTTGGCGTGCTCATAGGCTCTGGCCAGCTCCTCATAAGTAGAAGAAGCACTCTCTGTTGAGACCATGCTGCTCCGTGCACGATCTTATAATAGGAAAAAGAGAAATTAGGCGATGGAATTTGATGTGATATTTTCTGTTAGTATTTTGTGTTTCTAATGGGATTTGGCAGCTGTACATTTTGATTTATTATACATAGTACAGCAAAAAAAGATACATAGAATGAGTTTAAGATAGATATACATGTATAATGATAAAAATATTAAGCAAACTGCACTATGAAGTTTAATTTGCGCATAAAGGAGTACAGGTTCTGTCACATGATGCACCTGTGTCCTGTGAGGGACTGACGCTGTAGCTGTCACTCTCTTTGTCCACAGACCCAGTGGCACGCGGTGTGGGGAGTCTCCAGTCGGTGGTCAGGGTGTGTGAGGAGCTGGTGGGATGCGGCCGGTTCAGAGTCCACTGGCTAGCATAGCGGCTCCGTGCTGCAGCAGGACCAGCTTTGGCAGTGCGTCTGGCAGTTGGATCTAGCGTGGATTGGGAGAGAGTAGAAAGAAACTCACTTTTTTCTGTTCAATTAACATTAGGCAAAAAGTAATCAGATGAAAATCATCAGACTGTAGTTCTTGATGAATAAACAGTTCCTCAGTAGAGAACTAAATGCACAATTTAGCCACAGACCAAAAAGTCATTTGGACATGCAATGGGTATTATTCAAGTCATAAATCTAAAAAGGAGTCAAATTTACTATATCTATTTTTTTTTTTTATTTGTCTTTCAATTCAGGATTAAAATGCACCATACCCCTGTCGCCTGCACAATCTGTTTATTCAATCCAGTCAAACACAATCACTCATTTGACAAGTTTTTTCTGCAGTTTTTTTTTTCATTCTGAGATAATTTACAAAACAATCCTCAAAGGTATTATTGTTCCTGGAAATAGATGGTCTATGTTGGTTCCTGTTTTGGTTATATATCTGAGCAGTCAATGAGGTATTGAATGGGAACAAATGTAACAGCTGATATACTGTATTATTTTATAACACTTTACTCTATAGGTCAGGGTTGTATTCTCATTTAAACTGAGGAACTCATTCTTTAATCCCAATTACTCTTGTTTTTGTCTAAATTAATTATCCTATTGCATCTTTTGTTGGTTTACATTACAATGTGAATGAACACAACAACTTTTCTTACCCAATATACTGTTTAACTACTAGGTCTATCATTTGCCTACTGTTAGGTTTCCAGAGTATGAATTGGTCCTGGATTACCTCTAAAGCCACTTGCTTGGTCTTCTTGTAAAGGTCATAGCTTTCAGCTCTAAGCCCATAAAGGGCTGCTGACCTTTAGCGTTTTCTGAATACATTAGTCCAGTTGATTGGACAATAATGTTACAACAGCTTCTGTGTCTTCAGGTTGCAAAGACAGCAGCCCTCCGGTCAGGAAGCTTTTCCCAAGTGACCCCCACTTAAAACATTATCACAAGCAATGCTGGTTCTGTTTGACTATATCAATCAGGATATTCATGCAAGAAAAATAACATTTGATATTTAACTGGAATGATAAAGTGGTTAATCTGTTTTTTTGTTTTTCTCTTGACTCAAATATTTGTTATACTATGTCAAAAAACTAAAATGTTGGTTTCATTCAGTGTGACCACAGTGTGAATGTGCCGTTGATGCCTTATCCAATCCAGGGGGTGATAATCATAAAACCATATAAAGAAGTTTGAGGCCAGATTCCTGCAAATGGAAGAGCAGTCATCAGAGACAGAGGGATGAACTAATGGAGGCTGTGGACTAACTAAAAAGACAGGAGTGCTCTGAGTCAGCAATGTGAGTTTACAGTACATTGGTCAGGCTAAATGAACCATCATGTGGCTCTTTAAAGGCTGTGTTAGACTCTTGTGTGAGTAGATGAATTCTCCCAGTGTTTGTCTTTCTATAAACATAGATCTACAATTATTCTGTGCATCCTATGAGTTCAAATAATGAGGTGTGCATCCTCTGTTGCTTTGAACAAAATTATTCGAGAAGAATCAGTAATATGGATTTGAATTCCAGTCAGCATGCTGTCACTCCAGGTTTTAAAAAGACTTTGTGTCAAAAAGTGGAAGAGGGATCATTAGTCCTCATTATTTAAGCTTCAGTAGAGCTTAAACACAAGAAACTTTTTAGGAAAACTCACTTCATCTGGGCTTTTTTTATGAGATTGGATTAGATTGTTCAGCTGTGGATCTCTGGATCCTCTCTAGAGTTACTGTACACTACATCTTTTGATTCCTCTCTAAATCCTGCTGCCATTGACCAGCCTTATAACCTAACTCAGCTCCAAACATCTCCACAACTCTCTACCTGACCTGACTCCAGTGGTCTTAGGTCTATATGATGCTGTTTATTAGCTCCGCCAAGGAGGTTCGTTTTCTTTAGGAGAGTTTGTATGTCTGTCTGTCTGTTTACAGGATATCTTGAAAAGCTATGGACAGATTTTAATGAAATATTTACCAAACATGTTGGTCATGCCAAGGAAAAATCAACTACAGTTTTATGATGATTCAGATTATAATTTGGATACAGGAGATTTTTTAAAAGATTCTGTAAAATTGAGAGATATTTGGCTGAACAAGCAGTTCCCCACTAAACCAGAGGGTGGCAGCAGTGACTATTGATAGCCTCAGCATCGGACTCAAAAAGTGTCTAGGTATTTTACTGAAGAAAAAAACACAAAAAAAGGAGTTTTGTTGGTTTGTTAGCAGGTGCAATTTAAAACCTATGAATACATTTTATGAGGTGTGCCTCCTGCCAAGGAACAATTGGTTTAAATGTGGTAATGATTCAGATTATGTGTGAGTTTTAGCGATAAGTGTAAATCATAATTTGGGGCAAATTTTTGATTGTTGATGATCTGTGCTCTCAGAGTTTTTTTCCTAGTTAATAAATGTTTTCTAACAAACCTCTGTGGCCCTTTGGCCATACTTATACTCAGATTAACACACCAGTTTACCAGTTATGCAACTTCTGAAGGCATTTCATTGAACTGGATTTTATTTATGAGTGTCAAACTAAAGGGATTAAATGCAAACGCTAAAATATCTTTTTGTTTTTTAAACCAGTTGACAAATACTGGGTCCATCACACTTGATTTTAGGGATGAAAAAACTTTTGCAAGACAATATAAAAAGTATTAAGCTTCCAAAGACCAAACAGAACAAAATCACAGCATTTGTCTTACAACATTTATGTTAATGTCACTTAAACACAACAACACATTGTTAGTAGTAAAGGAAATAAATTTTGATCACTGACGGTGGTGGGACTCACTGGTTCCAGGCCTGGCATCGGATACATCTACCAGGGGTCCAGTGGCCTGGGACAGAGACTGGTAGTGGACTGTATGGGTCACTGTGGAAGACTTCTGCTTATTAGTCTCCCCAAAATCATTGTCTGTAAGCAGCACAGTGGATCTGTCGTCTAGGAGAGAAGAGGGAGGGTTTAGGAAACTGTGAGAATGGATCATGAGGTGTCTGACACTGGGTTCACCCTGAGCATTTTACCGATTGTTTCCATTGTGTCCCGCTCTTCGATGAGGAGCTGGGCTCTAGGGATGTCTATGTGCATTCTCAGGGTCTGCTGCTGCTTGTTTACCGTGTCTGGCGTCCGTGTGTTCTTACTGTAGAGAGAGAAATAAAGAGCCTCAGCCGCATGACTTTTGTCCTGCGGAAATGCAAACTCAGTTCCACTTAAGCTGATAAGATGCTGAATGAATGCGAAAGGACCACCAACACAATATATTTGATTTTTTTTTTACTGAAAGGGGCTTTAACTCTGGCTTGCAGTATGATTTATGCTCTGTCTGAAAGCAAATGAGCGTGCACAAATCAAAATTAGGAATACATACCTCATCAGCATTTCTGCCAGGCTTTTGGCATCTGTGAAGTCAGCAAAGAGGTGGTTAATGCAATATATAGCCCCGTCAGAGCTGTGAAGGTACAGAACTGGGAATACTTTACAAGCACTGATAACTCCTCCTGCTTAAAGACGTCTTAAATCTATTAGCGCCTTGGAAACATTAAAAGACATTCAAACTTTCTTAACAATTCACACTTACTTTTGTATTTACTGCTGTTTCTTTCCAATGCAGCAGTGTGCTTCGTCTTTTTTATTTGTTATCCTAAACTAAACGCAAATTACAGAAACAATTGCATTTCTGACACATTTATTCTATTTGTGAAAGCTCAATAAGATGAATTAGATGTTGAAAAATTTATTACTTTTCCAGACTTTTTAAAACTGCGTAGGAACCCTGGTTTTAACTGGTCCAAAGTAAATACTTTAAGCGTACCTCTGAGTCTTTTTAGCCTCTGCTCCCTCCGTCTCCTCTTTAGCACCATTAGCATTATAAAAACCAGCACAGCCACCACAAGAACAGAGGTGATGGTCACCACCATCTTCAGACCTCCGCTGCCTGACATGTTGTCTGAGATGGGATCTCCTGTCTTCAGCAGAGGAGGGATGGTACCTTGACAGAAATGAACAAAATTAGATATGTTCTATGTTGACCTTTAAGGCTATCTTTAAACATCTCTTCATTGAAATCTTTATAAACCTCAGTAATGGACTCATGAAAGGCTCACTGATCCACTGAGAAGCTAAACAGTAAAGTCTCAGTGTTGTTGTGTGCAGAAAGGAGGAAAAGGTTTAAGATAACAAAGTGAAGGATCATAAGGATTAAAGACTCCTGGGAAATGAGCTTTGATCAGTCATTTTCCACATTCATGGATTTTATGCGCAATTTTAAAGCTAATCTTCCCTGGATCTTTAAATAATATCTAGTCTTTATTACGCTCTGCAGATACCATGAATTCTCCCCCTGTCCATAGTTCAGTGTAGTGCACTATTTGCATGTTGCTATAAGATAAAGGATTTGCTAGATAATAAGGCAAAACTATCAAAACCAAAGTTTTAATGGCTCACAGGACTGGTAACAGGGTTTCTTTTCTGTTTAACAAGCAATTTAGCAGGTGCTCCAAAAAAAGCAGCTGCTGAATGTGTTTCTTTCTGGTAACAACAGAACCGAGTTAAAGGAGTCATCAGCTGGAAATTAGACTTTTTTTATGTTAGAACTGGAAAATCTGTGAAAGTGGCCTGGTTTTTGTTATGGGGGTTTGTTTTGCACACAGAAAAAATCTAGACATGTGCTCTCCACAAAGTGGCATTCTGGTCCTCCTGTATTGCTGTCAATGGGAAACAATGATAAAAGTCAAATTATTGTGCGTACCTTTAAAGAGAAACAAAAAGGGGTGTAAAAATCTATTTCATTTATTTTTCTCCTAAATATGATTTAAGATGAATTTATAGTGAATTTCTGATTAATTGTATATGTAAATTAACAGGTCATGTCGACTGCTTCTGCCTGAGAAGCAGGAAAGAGCTATTGATTCACTGTCAAAGTGACAACAGCGTCCACATATACCCACAATTCTGAAAAAAAAAAGAACTCTAACCAGAAACAAGCACCGTATTTGGAGTGGACATCCAGCTGCTATCATTCTTGACAGGCTACACAGTTCTTTCTAGCTAGACTAAAACAAACTGTGGTCCTAAAAGGCACATAAAGCAACCTAATGGCCTGTAGAGCATCTCAGGGCCACACAAATGTTCCTTACACACTTAAGAAGTAGCTGCAGAGATGTTTGCTATAAAACAACAACTCTAAACCTGTTATTGGTTTATAAATTAGACTCAAACTGAACATCTTGGATTTTAAAGCCTCCATCTTGGCTGCACTGCTCCAGAAAACCTTTTCAGGTTAACATTAAACATGCTAACACTGCAAACTTCATACTTTACACTGAAAAAGATGCTCCCTAGCTATGATTACTGTTTATGAGAGGTTTCTGTTAGTACAGTACTGTAGTTTACTGCTGTTTTTAATAAGTTTTTATTACTACTTCTCCCAAAAAGTGTTTTTTTTTAATGAAGAATTTTTTTTTTCTCAAATGAATATAACTTTCCCCAAAATATTTTTTTAAATAATTAGTTTGTCACCCATAAGCTTATATTTGTTCCCTAGTTTATTCTTAAGCAATAACCTCCACTCCAGGGGTCACCAATGCGGCTCCACCCGATGCCCTTTGCTTCTCCTGGAAACAGCACAAGTCACCAGGAGGCAAAGTTTGACATTTTATTTTATTTTGTTCCTTTTAAATAACACTTGCCTTTATAGAGATTTAAGAATGACACTGTCTAAAAGAAAATTAGAAATTAAAAGAAACAATAAAATATGTTTGAATTTTTATTATGTTTGTATGTTTTTGTTTATTATGCATGAAGTTTAGTTGAATGCTGACTCCTCAAGTTCATAGTTCAATATTGGTAGCCCTTCTCATGATTCCTGAAGTGCCGCTAAGCCTAAAAAAGGTTGCCGACTTCCGCTGTATTCTAATGAATTAATTCCCCCACAGGTCAATGGATGTAGTACAGCAAAACTGTTAGGTCTATTGTTTTTCCAACCTTCAGAGAAACATTTTTAGTACTTAAAATTAAAGAAAAGATGTTGAACCACAAACATAAACTTTCCTCCTGACTCACTTCCATCTGCATTTAGAGTAGCGAAGGTGACCCGTTTCTCCGCTGAGCCGGCGCTGTTGGTGACCTTCATCTGCAGCTCGTACCATGTGGCCTCTTGTAGGTCGTACAGGATGTAGCTCTTGGTGAGCGAGGTGCGCTGGGCTGTGGTCCATGTGGCTGAATCCACTGCTCTGTACTCCAGGATGAAGGAGGTGATCGGACAGCCTCCATTGTTCCAGCCGGCCAGGTTAAGCCTGGCCCTGGAGGAGTTGATGCTGGTGAAGATTTCATGTTCTTTGGCAAATTGTGGCTCTGAGAAAAAAAAAAAAAAAGAAAAAAAAATTAAGCCTAATCAGCATAAAGTTTTAAATGTATTAAACTATTATAATAAGTATTATATCTATATTTAACTATATATGTAATATATTAGATTTAAATATTTGTAAATCTATAACAACTGAAAGGGGAAACAAAATTATACAGTATACAGTATACTGAGATGGTACATCCTTTTTATGACAAATGATTAATTAGGGGGGAAATAAACTGTGGAGAATTTAGGAGTATAACACTGTTCACCTTTCCCATGAGTCTTTGCCTCAATGATCTCACTGATGCGTCCTGGACCCACGGCGTTCTGGGCTGTCAGGGTAAATTTGTACCATGTGCCGCACTTCAGATTCTCCAGACGGTAAGATCGCTCACTGGGGCTGATGGGAAAACTGCCCCATTGCTCGCTATTGTCCTCCGAGTACTGCAGAATGTAACCTGAAAAAAAGGAAGTGTAAGAAGAAAAGAAAGGGAAAAAAAACCCACATTTTTTTTTGTTAAAAAAGCGGGAAAAGCATAACAACACAGAAAAAAAATGAAGAGCCAACTGTTCAGCTTAAGGATAAATGTATGACAAAGGACTATATCATTTCCTAATCTATATTATTTCAGATGTGTTGCTTAGATCCAAGTTGTAGTTGATATATTTGTCCACTTGTATGAATGTTAATGCCCACATATATATATATATATATATATTATATATNGCATTTGAGATATCAAAAAAGTACTCCAGAGTATTGTTCAGCATGGGGGTGAGTAGAAAATGAAGGCTAATCATGTTTTGGGTGTACTATTCCTTTAAGAGCAGAGGTGGATAATCCAGGTCCAGAATGTAAAAACCCTTTACAGAGATTTGTTCCAAACATTTGCATTTCCAGCTCCACAACAGACTGGGTGCTAATCAACTGGTTAAGTAATGAAGGAAAACTAAGCAGGGATTTTTTCTAACCTAAACAATAAGATACTTCCCCAGATAAGTTCACCAGTAAAAATTTTTAATAAGGTGACCAAAATTGTCACTTTATTATTTACTTTTATTAATAAATTAATTTTATGATATTGTAAACTTTTTGTTTTAACAAGCTTGTCTCCAGTCTAAAATCTACGATTTTATAGGTAAGGAGAAAATATTAGATAATGTATGTAAATGTCACAAAAACACTCCTAATCTCATCCTATAAGAAAACTTTAGGAGATCCCTAGAAAAATACGTTTTTTTTAACGATAAAAATCTATTTTTGTGTGGTAAATCATCAAACATCAGGCACTCTGGAGTCGATAGTTTGGGGTTTATATATAACATGGTTGATGGGGAAAATTGGGCCTCATGTTACAACATTTTTGTTTTCTTGTAAATTTCTCTTATTATTTCTCCTACCAAGGGCTCCTACAAATGTGCCACTTCAGATTCAACGAATGCTCTTAACTTTATTAAATGATCATAAATGATCTCTGTAAACATGATGCAGACCACCTGTGCTTAAGTGAGCCTGCCTTCTTGAGCAATTTAAATCTGTGTAATCACCGCCCCAATAATGACATATAAGGCTATGCCTTCCCACCCTTGTTCATCCACAAAAATGGCATTGAAGAATAATAATAAAAAAGTTATTAAAAATTATGTACATAAAATAGTATTAAGGTATTAACTGAAAAATAATAAAAAAAATAATTACAAAAGGAGCAAATTATGTTACAGAAATAAAAAAAATAAATAAATAAAAATGAAAATCATTTGATCCGAAAACAGTCAATAAAATCTAGTGATGGAGGCAAGAGGTCCAACATATGACGTAAATGCTTAATATGAGTTATCTATCAACCAACACAACACATTCTTTTAAATCACCTTTTAATAAACTTGCACACTTACACTGTACATCACCACACTATCCATATTTCCTTAATTGTACTATCTATCTCTGTCATGGGTAAACTTAAAAGCTTTGAGGGCAAAACTTTAATTTGATGAATTCAGACAAACCCAATCCCAAACAATCCACATTTTATCTAATAACAAAGCCAAGTATTTGTTTACTATGGCTAGATCTGTCTGGACCAATCACAGCGAGGGGGGTGGAAGTTTTGATTACCCTTAACACAAAAATGAAAATTAATTATCACTTTTTTTCTGGGACATCTTTTACAAATTTATTTAATAATCGTTTGGATTAAATAACAAATGGGTTATCTAATGCTAATTTTACGTATGAGTCAAAAATGCCACTATGACTTGAAGAAGAAAATGCATTTTCATTAATGTATCTTTTTCAGATGTATCATTTAGAACTGAGAGTAATTTAAATTTGATGTATTAGTAAAGAAATGCATTTTGAAAGTGAAAAAGCATTTATATTAATCCCTGTGACCACAGATAAAGGTTTGCTCATTTAAGCAAGTTTAGTCTAGTCAACATTAACTTTTAGTAGCATTTTCTCACAATATTTTTACAAGTTAACCCTTTTTTATCATGTCAAAATAAAGGCTTGAAGACCAAGGGGGCCCTTATCAGTTGTCAGATAACACAAAAAGGTAAAACACTGTTACACTGCCAATATTTTAAATCCATTTTTTTTTTTTTTGTCAAAAGCCTTGGATTAATTGAATTACAATTTAATGTCTTTTCAAAGTTGTTTCTTCTTATTTGACAGAATTGCTCTGGATCAATGTAAAAATAAACTCAGATCACTTGATCAAAGGTAAAGATTCATATTTATCCTTTTACACAAATATTTTTTTACTATTGTCCCCTTGGTTTTAAAATCCCAGCTTGTATGATTTCCATCCGGGGTCTGTTTCAATAAGGTTTCACAAACTCAAATCCTCAACTCTGAAATGATCTAGCCTGAGGTTGGAAACTCTGAGTTTTCATTTTCATAAAGCTGTTGTGTGTTAGTTTAATCAACTCTAAGTTGGGCCACTCAGAGTTGAACATTTGCATACCAGGTATGAAAAGTCATTATCAGTGCCTATATCAGAGCCCCGATTCCACAAGTCACCATGACAACAGGCAATAGGAAGTTCCTAATTCACACCACTGGAAAGATTTTACTGCACAAATGGAAAAACAAAAATGGATAATGTGTTAAAAAAAAAAAACTGAAACAGCGCTACAGCTGCAAAGGAGAGAAAGATGGTGAAGGAGAACATTGTTGCTGGAGTTAATGCACAGGCCGTTTATTATTAAAACAATCTCCTCTATGTAGCTCCATTTGTAAACTAAAATATAATTCTTGCAGATCAAAATCACATTCCTAGATAGATCTGCAATAATTGTAAATCTGTAATAATATTTTCTAAATAAAATTTTTGCAGCACAAGCTGAATTTCAGAATTGTACAGGTAGGAATTAGTTTTATATACCGTAAATTCTCTAATATAGGCCCGGGCCTTTATTTCACTCAAGTGCATCGCGGTCCAGGCCTTTATTGGATAGAGGCCAGTATTAGAGACAGGCCTCTATTGCTATTTGAGCAAAACAGACTACCAGTGGAATGAATAAAAATGAGATTTTGTGTCTATTTGAACCTATAAAACACTAGGTTCATTTATTGAAAAAGTACAGTTACCATGTCTCGCTTGGTTTGAAGTAAAAAAAAAAAAATAAAATCATCCAATTCTGTTTAATTCTCCTCCTCAGTTTCCTCCTCCTCTTCATCTCTCCCTTTATTCTCCTCATCACTCGCGCTCCTCCTCATGTTCTGCTGCGTGTCTGTTCTCTTCCTCGCGCAGACGGGCAGCAGTCAGGGCCTGTCGTTCAGCTGCGCAGGGCTGTGGTACTTGTATGTTACTTACTACCACAAGTATAATGTTGAGGTATGCCCAGAAAAAACGTTTATAGCCCCGGCCTGTATTAGAGACCGGCCATTATTTACCTCCTCTGACAGCGAGACCGGCCATTATTAGAGACCCGGCCGCTATTGGAATACAGGCCAATATTAGAGAATTTACGGTATGTATAAATGTCATTTTAAGTGGCAGTTTTGACATCTATCAGCTAGACTGAATATGTATTTATGATATTTGAAATTCTGCTCTAGTTCCTTTAAGTCCAATTGGAGTCAGTAAAAAATCACAACAGTGAACCTTCTATTTCCTCCCCCTTCTATATCAGAAATGCCTATAGCCGTACCAGGGACTGATGGCAGGCAGGAAGACATCTACTATTTACATTAAAGAAAAATGGGAGGACGAATTGAAGGAACACATAAGCGAGGAGGAATGGTTTAAAATTTGTAAAATGCAGTGCACAGCCACCTGCTCTTGTGTGTGGAGGGAATTTAATTGGAAAAACATGATTCGGATTTTTAATACCACCAAAGATCAGGACCAGGATGTTATCCAGTTCACAGCCATGCTGGAGATTCTGTGGCCAGACTGATGTAGGCCACACGCACATATTCTGGTCTTGTCAAAAGCTAACCACATACTGGCATAATGTTTGCCCTTTTTTGAAAAAACATATTGGGTTATGGAATACCCAGATCATGTAAAACACTTTATCTAGGATGCCTCACACACGATGTAATTCAAAAGTATAATGAATACCTGCTAAAAATATTACTTTCAGCATCGAGGAAAACCATCACAAAACTATGGTATAGACAAGACCCCTGTGGAAGCTGTGGAATGCTGAGAAAAGAAATTGGTTAATGTCATACCATGTCATATCATGTCAAAGACACCAGAACTATGGCTGATATCAGTTATGTAGAGGTTTCTTTTGAACGTCTTCATGTTCATGAAAAATAAATAACATGTCATAGAAACAGGTGTACAGAGAACAGAGAACAGGTGTCGTCTGTCGTCCATCAGAAAAAAGGTATTAACTCTATTTTTGACAAGTCACGGAGCACAAGTTTCTAAATTTCAGATGAGCCAGACAAGAGGTCAGACACAGAAAGATGAAAGTGGAACCGGTAGATTTTATAATAAAAGCTACTGCATAGAAGGATGCAACACTGGATGCATAGCACATTTTGTGAGAAATGATAAGGACACAGAATGTTTTCAGTCTGAGGATGGCCTACAGCAGAAGCTGTTTGCTCTCACTGAGCAAACAGCTTCTGTTTATTATGTTTTATTTTGTCATTTAGGATTTTCTGTCATTGTGTTTTCAGATACATTATTCTAAAAGCTTCTACAGGTCTGGCAGTAATCTGACCAGGGTGTGGTTGGTGAAATTGAACTCAAATGTTATAAAAATGTGGTTTAAATTCATATCTTCAGGTAACACAGAGTACATGTCAGATTTAATAATATTACTTTAGCGATAGTTTCAAGGTGTTGATTTATTGTATGTCTCGTACCATGTCTTTTGGTTGTGCTGTTCTTTTTTAATCTCGTTACAGGTGATGAAGCAGACTGAAAATGTTCTGTCATTGTCTCCTTTCTATCTCCTCTTTCTTTCATCTTTTCTCTTTTTTTTCTCTTTTTTGATTTTTCTTCTTCTGTTTTTCTGCTCTACTTACATTGCAGTGTCCATATAAACTGTAAAACTCCCTGCATAATTATAATAAAGCAATTTATATAAGAAAAAAAAATTGGTTTAAAAAAATGAGGCTCATTATATCCCATTAGAAACAATATTGTTTTAATATAAGCACAGGCTAGTTTGGATGATGTTTTTTGTTGATAAATGTCTTGATTATTATTTAGAAATTTGGATTATCTTCTCTTTCTATTATGTTTTGATGAACTATAAATGTGACAAGCAAAATACACATTTTGGCTGCACTGCATGTACAACATTTTTTTTTCTTTTTTAAAATTATTGATGCATTTTAATTTCTGAGAAACTAACTTTTTATTTCCAACAGCATCCAGGAAATGGAGGCCAGGCATAAGGTTGAATATGAAGACCTAAGGTAATTCTAAATACAATTTTAATTTTAGTATTAGTAAGATATTTCAAATTAGTCCTAAATAAATAAAATAGTCTTATTTAACAGTTAAAGCAAACTAGATTAATTTTATACACAAACAGTTGATAGAATTTGTATTTTAATTCTTTTAGCAATGTCTTTTTATAAAGCCTATCACAGCTGTTTAATGACAATATCTCTTTAAAGAGATACTGTCATCAAACCCAGAGCTGAGCTAAAAGCTTTGGTTGTGATGTAAAAAAGCAAATCTCTCTGGTAGCGTCCAGTTTTATTTGCATCAAGGTATTAGACAAATATTTGGATTTTGATTAGAAATCAAGCCATTCATTCCTAAAATAGCTAAATGCATTAAAAGGTCCCCAGGATTATCACATAGCTTCAAACAGTCTACTTATACATGTAACAAGACAAGTTTGGCTGATTCTCAATATTCAGCCCTGGGTGAAGTATTAAAAACAAATAAGTTCAAGCAATAATCATAAAAGTTCCCTTAGTAGTTTATAATATATAATTCAATTTTATTGTCATTACACTGTCACAAGTACAGAGCAACGAAATGAATTCTCTGCATTTAACCCATGCCGTTGGGGAGCAGTGGACCACTACTGTGCGGCGCCCGGGGCGCAGTGTGGGGTTAAGGGTCTTGCTCAGGGAGCCAGAGTGGCAGTCTGTGGGAGTGGGGGATCAAACTCACAACCTCAGGATTTAAAGCCCTATGCCCTAACCAGTTCTTAATGTGTTATGTATTGTTTTTATGGCTTTGTTGTAAAGCACTTTGGGTACCATTTGGTTATTGTAAAGGGCTATACAAATAAATTTGATTTGATTTGACTACAACATTAAAGTATATAATGGAAAAAAATATATACATGTGATTAAATGCTATAAAAACAAGTTCTATGTTTTCTAAACATAAACTTTAGCAACAGCATCATGTTATGTTTTGAACTTCACAGAAGGGCTCAGTATACCACTCCAAACCTTGACATGTTTGAACGAAGGTATGTGTTTATTGTTTTCTCTAAAAAGCATTTTTTATAAAAACATCTAAAATTACAAAAAATACCGACATACACGCTGAAAACAGCTTTGAGATTATCTTAGAAAGTTTTAGCACTCACAGCAGCTGCATACATAAAACATTACATTTAAATGTAAATGTAATTACCAAATATGTATATTCTTTTAAATTAAGAATTGAGATCTACAGGGAAATGCAACAGAAGGAATATGAAGAAATAAGGTAATCAACATTCAAACCACAACTAACAATTTTCTATAGATCTATTCTAAAACTATACCATACATAAATTATATGTCTAGCACATGAAACATTGTCTGAATAAATCCAGGTGTATTATTCCCTACTTATTAATATTAATTGCTTTTAATCTATAATAGATTAAGTATGTCATTTTAAGGACAGTATGCTTACAGGACGATTTTCTTTCTGTGTGCAGATCTGATCTGACAGACAAAGGAAAGACTCTGGAAACTCTCTACCAAGAGTAAATTAGTGTTTGCATAAGCTATAGATCTGATCCTGAGCTGCAAACTAATTTTCTTTTTTTCTATTTTAAAGGTTTGAAAACATGGAGTCACCTTCAAGAAGGTAGAGTTGTCTGAGAAAAACAATGCATAAGCTTAAACCCGGCAAATTTCCATGTAATATTGCATAATATTTGCTTTAATAATCAAAATTCTTAAATAATTTTAAAGATAAAAATTGATAAAAGCAGGTAGAAAAAGAAAACAGTTTTGACCACAACCTTAAACTAATAATACCTCAGTTAACACTTTAACTCACTTAATTTAAACTTAACTCATTCAGCACTTTTATAATCTCCTGGGAGCATAGGAAATGCTGCTTCTTCATGTTTGGTTCTAGTTTTGGGTTACAGAGTAGACTGAAATTAAAAGACCTGAGTGGTCTGGGACTCTGATACACTGGCAACAAATCAGTTGTTTTGAGGTTCTGATCCATTCAGTGATTTATAGACTAACATAATGTCATGAAACCAGGGATAGATGGACCCATTATTCAGTTGAGTCAGACAGTGGGACGTTTCAAAACATTTACTGTCAAACTAAATAAACAGAACATAAAGCGGGCTGCTGTGGATCAGCAGACCTGCAGCGACTGCAGGGGAAGGCACAGCATCGCTCATCACTGGCACTCTGGATGTGGGAGAAACACAGGTAAGTGACCGCGATAATCTGACAGAAGATGATTAGCTGTGTGAGTCGCTTACCTCGTTCAACAGTTCAGTCCATCCTCTCATCAAAGGCAGGATCAGCCAATGCACTGACAATAGGACGCAGCGCTGAGCCATCCAAAGAGTCACTGATGCAGCAACCCCAGTGTGCAGGCAGGATATAGGTCCGGGAAACAGTTCAGAACAGGAGTGTTATGAGATCTAGGAGTTTGTAGCCCGACCAGGGGTTCCGATACAAACAGGAACAAACAGATCTAGGGTTAGAGCAGGCAGCTACCTCAATATATATTTCAGTAAAAGTTAAGTGACTGGTATGTTAAACAAATTAGAGATACCAACGAAAAATCAGTTTGTTATACATACAGAGCTTTTTCAGCTAAAAATGGCAACAGAGTGAACATTTATATAAGTTAAAAAGGTGGTTTTCTCAGAGGACCATTACTTAGAGTTGCAGATTAAAATGAACACATATGTGTTGTTGTCTTATTGAACAGAGAATCAGACTGCAGAGCTTCTAGATACCTTGAAAATCTCTGGCATCATTGTATTGTTTGACAGGTTCATAAACCTGTGTTTAAGCAGAGCAGAGACACAATTAGGGAGAGCTGCTGATTTAAAGGTGAAACAGATTTACTGGGATATGCAACATGCAATAAAATACATCCCCAAGTTTTCAAGAAAAAAAACGCAATGCTAAAATAAAATTCAACATATCTTTTTGGCTTTTGTAGTTCAGCAAGACTCAGAAATAGCTGTGCCAGTCAACCCAGAGACAGTCAGACTCACAGGACACAGACTTAAAATTAAAATATAAGAAAGCTGCAAGAATTAAAGCACAAATGATAAAAATCAGTGTATAAATGATTTTTGAGATATAAGGTTCAATAGATAGACTTTGGCTGTAAACAGCATATGGGACAAATTTCTAAATTAGATTTTGCTGCTTGTGAAGGAGGATAATCACTGATGCAGCGCAAAGGGAAGCCAGGCATGGATGGATGGTTACAATTATAGATTTGTCCATACAGTACAAGGGATTCAGGATATATTGATGTTGGC